GCTGCCACATCCAGGCCTCGGGCCGCCCACAGTGCTCCTGCCTGCCAGGATGGACAGGTGAGCACTGGCGGGAGTGGGGAGGAGCAGCCGGCAGGACAAGGGCTGGGCTATGGGGTGGGAAGGATAGAACTGGGGACTGAGAGACTGGGAGCCCTGTGAGGACAGAGGTCTTGAGAATCAACAAGCCAGTTCTTGGGGGCAAGGATACAGCTCATTGGTAAAGCTCATACTTAGCATGAGGTCCTGGGTTCAATCCCAGTATTTCCATTAAAAATAAATAAATAAACCTAATTACCTCCCCACCCCCTGCCAAAATAAAAAAAAAAAAAAAAAATCAAGATGAGAAAGGCAAGCCACCTGCCCAAGGGCACATAACCAGTCATCCCACAGCGAGGGGCTCTGTCTCCTGCCTGCAAAGCCTGCAGGTTTTCATCTCCCCACCAAGGTCACTACTGAAGGGACCCTGCGTCCCCAGTCCAGGCAGGGCTCAGGTGCAGTACTCCTACCAACAGCTCCATGTACTGTTTTCAGTTTGGAAAAGGTAGCCACTCCAGATAGAACCGTCCCAAGGAATGGTAAAACTGAGGATGAGGGAACAAGGCAGAGAGGGTATGGGAGGGAAGGGAAGTAAATATGGAAATTAGACACAGATAACCTGGAGGGAGAGCTGCGTCATCTCAGAGGAGCTGGAATTTGTGCCTCCTCTGTCCTTCACCTCAGGTGAGCAGTGCCAGCTTCGGGACTTCTGCTCAGCCAACCCCTGCATCAACGGAGGGGTGTGTCTGACCACCTACCCCCAGATCCAGTGCCGCTGCCCACCTGGTTTCGAGGGCCATGCCTGCGAACATGACATCAACGAGTGTTTCCTGGACCCAGGACCCTGCCCCAAGGGCACGTCCTGCCACAACACCCTGGGGTCCTTCCAGTGTCTCTGCCCCACCGGGCGGGAGGGGCCACGCTGTAAGCTCCAGCCAGGACCCTGCCCCACCAGCGGCTGTCTCAATGGGGGCACCTGTCAGCTGGTTCCAGGGAGAGACTCCACCTTCCACCTCTGCCTGTGTCCCCCAGGTGCGTCCTCACAGGGCTCTTCTGGGCACCGAGGTGGTCTCCCGTGGGTCCCCTTTCTCAGCTGATCACATGACCCTGACAGGTTTCACAGGCCCAAGCTGTGAGGTGAATCCAGATGACTGTGTGGGGCACCAGTGTCAGAACGGGGGCACTTGCCAGGATGGGCTGGCCACCTACACCTGCCTCTGCCCAGAGGCCTGGACAGGTGAGTCATTGAAGCCAAGTCGATGGCACCAGTGGCCCAGACGGTCGTCCCTTGTTCTCCCCTCCCCACAGGGCCCCAGCTCCAGCACCCGTCCCCTTCCCACCCCCTGCAGGCTGGGATTGCTCTGAAGATGTGGATGAATGTGAGGCTCGGGGTCCTCCTCTCTGTAAAAATGGAGGGACCTGCCAGAACTCAGCTGGCAGCTTTCACTGTGTGTGCGTCAGCGGCTGGGGAGGCACGGGCTGTGAGGAGAACCTGGACGACTGTGCTGCAGCCACCTGCGCCCCAGGATCCACCTGCATCGACCGTGTGGGCTCCTTCTCCTGCCTCTGCCCACCTGGCCGCACAGGTGTGGCGTGGGGGGCACAGGGGGGTGGGAGGTGGGGATGGCACGTGAGCAAAGCACGAGGAGAGCAGCTGGGGGCTTCAAGCAGCCTCTGAGAGCCTCGCCCACCTGCCCTCCAGGCCTCATGGGGGGTGGGAGGTGGGGATGGCACGTGAGCAAAGCACGAGGAGGGCAGCTGGGGGCTTCAAGCAGCCTCTGAGAGCCTCGCCCACCTGCCCTCCAGGCCTCCTGTGCCACATGGAGGACATGTGTCTGAGCCGGCCGTGCCACGGGGAAGCCCAGTGCAGCACAAACCCCCTGACGGGCTCCACTCTCTGCCTGTGTCAGCCTGGCTACACCGGGCCCACCTGCCACCAGGACCTGGACGAGTGTCAGATGGGTGAGGCACCCCTCATCAGACCCTCTCTGAGCCCCAGACAGGCTCTGCACTGAAGAGAGAAACAGGCAAATTGCTTTTCAAATTAAAAACATAAACATCTCCTCTTTCCTGAATTTGTCCAGATTTGGCATCTCTTCCCTACACAGTCTTTTCACCAACGCTCAGCCCTCCAGGCCCCAATGAGTCCTTCGCCTTCTTAAAGACACAAGCCCTTTCCCCACTTGGGTCTCGTCTGCCACAAACAGACCCCTCATAGTGTCCCTGCCAGTCTGGCCTCCTTGCCCTCCCGCCCCGACCCCTGTGGACCCCTGGTTCTTCTCTCCCTGCAGCCCAGCAAGGCCCCAGTCCCTGTGAACATGGCGGCTCCTGCTTCAACACGCCCGGCTCCTTTGAGTGCCTCTGTCCCCCTGGCTACACGGGATCCCGCTGCGAGGCTGATCACAATGAGTGCCTGTCCCAGCCCTGCCACCCGGGCAGCACCTGCCTGGACTTGCTCGCCACCTTCCACTGCCTCTGCCCACCAGGTACCAGCAGAATGGGGCCTCGGGTAGAGGAGACAGGGCACTAACCCACGGGGTGTGACCTCTCTGGAGCCTAGATAGCCTCAGGTCAGTTGGGGTCAGTTACCAAAGAATGTTTCTCCTCCTCTCCCCACCCCCAGGTGAAAACTCTGGAGACCGATAGCCCCTAAGAGAAGGGCGGCCACAGACGTAGTGAGGTTGTGCACTGCTCTACTCTTGGGGGAAGAGGACGTATTCACTTCAAAGTCATTAAGGGTGCACAGCCTGGTCCATTGGACCCAGAGGCCCATCAGGGGAAAACAGAATAGCGGTTAACAACTTTTCACACTGCAGCCTCTGCTCATGCCAATCCAGAATGTTCCTTCTAATCACAGGAACTCTCTCCTGGAGAGATCAAGAGTAAACCCTTAAAACCCCAAGGGCGTGTGTGCTTGAATTTGGTACAACAGGAAAGAATGCTGCAAGGCTGCGCCTCCGTACAAGTTAGTGTTAAGAGGGGAATTATCTCCCCAGGGAGACAGCAACAGAGCCAATATCAAGGAGCTGAATGAAACCAGAGAAATAACAGCTTACTCTGTGCCAGGTAGTGCCTGAGCCTCTTACACGCATTATCTAATCTTGACAATAACCCTATGAGGTCAACATCGTTACTATGCCCATTTTATAAATGAAGAAACTGACTTGTCCAAGGTTGCCCAGCTAGCAAGTGGCAGAGCCAGGATTCAAACCCAGGGTTTTGATAGTTTTAACCACTGCACTATACAGCCTTTCTATGCTGAGAGCATCCAACGAAAAATGCTGGGAAAACTACCCAGTAGTCCAAGGGACAAGGTTGTAGATAACACGGAGCTTCAGAGGCAGGCTCCCCAAGCAAGAAGAGGGAGGCGACTGAGGTCCAGAGGCTGGTCCAGCTTCAGTTCAGGGTGAGACAGTGGAGACCAGGATGAGGCCAAAGACACAGGACAAATATGGGAGCAACACAGCTTCCCAGATGCCCTTCAAATGCCCACCTTGGGGATCCCTGGTCTCCCTGGCACAGAGGCCTGTCCAGGTAGAACAAGAGGAGTAAGCCACCTCCAAGTAGATGCTCATTTGTCACACTGGCACCTCGAGAACCCGCCGGGGCTGATCAGCTACCCTTCCCCCCATCCCGGGTGAGCCCTGCCTTCTGTGCACAGAGGAATAGCCCCAAAAGACACTTCCCGGGAGCCCTCCCACAGGTCCCCACAGGCGCCCTGCTCGCTGAGCTTTCACACTGGAGGGAGCAGAGCCACACACAGCAGAGCAGCGGAGCCTCGGGTTCACCTCTCCAGCCCCCATGCAGATGGCACCCTGGGAGGGGCTGCCTGATGGAGGCACACAGCAAGTCAGGGACCAGGCTGGTTCTGGGACCCAGGCCTCCCGGGCAGAAGGGGTGAGCAGCCAGGGCAAGGCTGGCGTGGCTGAGCCTCACCCCTGACCGCACCTCTACACCCTCAGGCTTCGAAGGGCAGCTCTGTGAGGTGGAGACCGATGAGTGTGCCTCTGCCCCTTGCCTGAACCAGGCTGACTGCCATGACCTGCTCAGTGGCTTCCAGTGTGTCTGCCGGCCCGGTGAGTGCAGATTCCAGTCCAGCCCCCTCGGCCCCGTGGGCTCCTGACCCTCCACAGTTCAGACCTGACAATCGCCCGGGGCCTCTTGAAGCTCCCTCTAGCCTGGCCAAGGAATCCCCCATTTCTCCAGCTTCTCCTCTGCTCTCCAAGCTCTCTTCCATTACATCCCCCAAATCCTCCATTGCTTACTTGCCCACCTCATCTCTGTCCGGCCAGATCACCCAATGTCCCTCCTCTCCAGCCCTCCTTCAGAGTCCCCTGTATGCTCTCCCTGCCTGCCGGGGCTGCCGGGCTGGTCTGCCCTCCAGGGACGCAGGGAAATTTGCCCCAGGCCTGCCTTCTCCAGCTTCATGGAACACCCCTGTGTTCCCTGCTATGATAATAACTGAGGTTTATTGAGTATTTACTCCAGGCCAGGCACATGGCCATGTACTTTTCAGGCATTGTCTCCTTGAATGCTTTCAATGGTATCATGAGGTAGGTTCTGTTATTATTTCTCTTTTACAGTGGAGCCCAGAGAGGTTGAGTAGCTTGCCCAAAGTCACACAGCCAGCAGGTGGTTGAGCTTCACCTTTTCTGCATCACCCTTCTGTCACCTCGACCTGCCCTAGGTGTCTTCTCTGGAAACTTTTCCAGGTTCCTCTTTCCTGGCAAGGGGAAGGGCCAGGACTTGTATTTATGCTTTCAGTAAAATGTGTTTTCAACATTAGTACACATATCCAGTTATGCCTTATTTAAATGAAGAATAAAATTACCAAGTTATGCTCCATTATGTCCTGAAATCCACATCACTATTTGAGAAGCCCCCAAATTGGTCCCTTTATTACATGATACATTTAGACAAAACCCCAAACCAAACTATTTAAAACAAGAGTCTCTCCATTGCCATTTGTAGCGATGTTGTTTCTATATTTGCCAAGAGAAGACTAACAGCAGTGTTAACTCTCAATTTCTTGTTTGAATCCATGAAATCATGCCTATAAAGCTCAAACACTTGTAACAAACTCTCTAATAAATCTACAGAAAAAAAAAAGACCTTTGCCACCTCTCCTCCCCCCGGCTCCCCACCCCACCAGGATTCACCGGCCCGCGGTGTGAGGAGGACATAGACGAGTGCAGAAGCTCTCCCTGTGCTAACGGTGGGCAGTGCCGGGACCAGCCTGGATCCTTCCACTGCGAGTGTCTCCCAGGTAAACTGGGGCTCAAACACTGGAGGAGAGAGAGGGCAGGGGCAGAGTCCGTGCAGCCCTGGCCCTCCTGTTGTGCCACAGGCTTTGGAGGCCCGCGCTGTCAGGCGGAGGTGGACGAGTGTCTGAGCGGCCCATGCCCTGCTGGAGCCAGCTGCCTCGATCTCCCAGGAGCTTTCCTTTGCCTCTGCCCGTCTGGCTTCACAGGTCAGCAGGGGAGGCACTGGAAAGAACCGGAGGGATAATGAAATCCACTGTGGGTGGAGCAGAGGTCATTGATGGATGTTGGAGGACTGGGATGTGAGAACAGAATGAGAATGGGACCCCTTAAAGTTCTGCAGTGCAAAACCTGCACAACCATACAGGGGCTGAGGGCAAGTGTTACTGTAGGGCCCACACCGGGCCCAAAGTGAATGGCATGATTGGGGATCAGGAGTGGAGGATGGGATTCAAAGGCAAAACATTCATTTGCTTATTCAGCAAACATTTATTAAGTACCTACTATGCACTTAATAGACACAGACACAGACACAAAGTTGAGTAAGAGATGCTGTCCCCAAGTGACCTTAAATCTACTGCAGGGAGACCAAGTCTCTCGTTGATTATGGCCCAGAGACGTGCTCTGAGAGAGGAATGCACAGGATCCTATGGGAACACAAAGGACGGGCTAACCCAGACTAGAGATGGGAAGCCTTCATGAACAGAGTCTGAAGGACTGAGCAGGAGTTTGTTGAGACAGAATGCAAGACAGCACGTTTTAGCTGCAGATGACGGCATGTGCAAAGGCACAGAGGGAAGAAAAGCGTACCTGACTCAAGGGACTGTAGGAGCCCAGAGCTTAGGGTACAGTGGGGCAAAGGTGAGAAATGCAGCAGTCGCAGGAAGGTCACATCATGCAGGGCCCCGCGTGTCATTCTGAGGAAGTTAGTATCCCAAGGCAACAGGGAGCCACTGAAGGACGGGTCCTTGGGGAGGAAGCAAGTCATGCATAAGAAGTGGCCTTTGGCCCCATCAAAGACAGGGAGGGACTCTGTTTTCTCTCTGACCCATCTCCCCACCCAGGTCATCTCTGTGAAATTCCCCTGTGTGCCCCCGACCTGTGCCAGCCCAAGCAAACATGCCAGGATCAGGAGGACAAGGCCCCCTGTCTCTGCCCCAGTGGAAGCCCTGGCTGTGCCCCCGCTGCAGACAACTGCACCTGCCACCATGGGCACTGCCAGAGGTAACATCTTCCGGGCCCTCCCCATTTACAGTCTCCTCTGGGTCCTCCTCAGCTAGGGCAGGAGAAGACAGCCAGTGAGGTGTGAGCCCGTAGGAAATGGCCAACAGGGACTAGGAAGGAGATGGCAAAGTTCTGGGGTCACAGCCAATGGGAGGGCTCAGCTGGTGAATGCTATCCAATGAGGGGAGAGTTCATAAATAATGAGGGAAACAGAGGACCAGGGCTGGGGCTGGTCAAAGCAGAAAGCAGAGTAGTATTAAATCCCAGGACCAATTCGTTTCACCACTTCTTAGACAAATACTTACTGAGCGTCTACTATGTGTGGATACTTTTCCAGGCACTGGAGAACAGTGCAGAACAAAAGAGACGCAGTATCTGCTCTCATGGTGCTTTGGTTCTAATGAGCAAACACAGCCAATAAACAAGCTATGCACAGAATATAAAGAGAAATGTACTTGGAGAAAATGGGTGGAGCAGCTGGGGCAGAAGGGGGACAGTGCTGAGAGCAAAGCCACTGAGGAAAGGCCAGAGTCTCAGGGCCAACAAAAGAAGAGGTCATAGGGTTCTGACCAATGGGGAGGGGAGAAGAGAAAAACATCAGAAGAGAAAACCCTCCCCTTCCTCTCTGTGACCAGATCTTCGTGTGTGTGTGATGTGGGTTGGACAGGACCGGAGTGTGACTCAGAGCTGGGGGGCTGCGTCTCCACGCCCTGTGCCCATGGAGGGACCTGCCACCCCCAGCCCTTTGGCTACAACTGCACCTGCCCCACAGGCTTCACAGGTGAGCTGCTCCCTAAACCACATATACCCTGGGATGACCACCCTCTAAATCAAGGGCAAGGCCAGTGCAGGCCTGTGTCCAGGGGCTCTGGGTCTCAGTCACCACCAAGAACTGGGCACGGGCAGCAGCGGACATGGGTGATGTGTGGGAGGTGGTGACAAAAGAAAAGAGGTTGGATGGGGAGGAGAAGAGTGGCGATGGGGACGAGGAGGGGAAGGAAAGAGAAATGGAAGAGGAGGAAGAGAGGAGAAAAGGACAAGTCCCCTTCTCAGACCCTACCCACTTCCCTCAGGGCCCACGTGCAGTGAGGAGGTGACAGCTTGTTACTCAGGGCCCTGTCTCAATGGTGGTTCCTGCAGCCCCAGCCCTGGGGGCTACTCCTGCACCTGCCCTCCGAGCCACACTGGGCTCCACTGCCAGATCAGCGTCGACCACTGTGCCTCTGGTGAGTGCCCACAGTGTCTGGGGCTGGGCCACAGGACAATGCAGAAATTGGTCAGGGTATGTTTGTGCCATAATTTTTAAAAACTTAACTGGATGCCGCAAGCCGGCGTTTGGGTGAGGAAGTGGCGGTGGGAGCGCTGTCCTGTGTGCAGTGTGACTGAGGTCACAGGCCAGGTTACAGGCAGGGAACCCAACCCCTCACAGCCTCCTCTCTCTAGCACCGTGCCTCAATGGGGGCACCTGTGTGAATAGGCCCGGCACCTCCTCCTGCCTCTGTGCCCCGGGCTTCCAGGGCCCACGCTGTGAGGGGAGGATCCGTCCCAGCTGCGCAGACAGGTGAGCAGGGCACAGAGACCCCTGCCTCTCCATCTCCTCCGGGGCTCCATGCTGCCTCTCCTCCTATATCCCACACCCTTTCACTCAGCCCTCCCTCCTGTTTTCCCCTCCCCCTCACTGAGGCCCTCCTGCCCCCCCAGCATCACACACTCCCTCCCCTTGTTTCCCAGACCCTCCTCCTACCACGCCTTCTTTCTTATCCAGCCCCTGTAGGAACTGGGCAACCTGCCAAGATGGCCCTCAGGGTCCCCACTGCCTCTGCCCCCCTGGCTACACAGGAGGTAGCTGCCAGGTGAGGGGCACTGAGCCAGGTGTGCTGAGGAGGGGGTGGCTAGAGACCTCCAGTGAGAGGGTCTCAGGTATTAAAAGGTGAGCAGCAGGGAAGCTTAGGAGAGGTGTCCACATGAAAGGAGGTTTGGGAGTCTAGGAGTTGGGGTCTAACTTGAGATTTGAATGGAGTTGAAGGACTGAGAGGATTTCTGATCCCAGGGACTGTTCTGGGATGTGGGTGTCAGAGGAAACCAGAGAGGGTAAACTGGTCCCAGACCATCCAGGAAAGAGTTTTAGAGATAAGGGATTTTGAGGATCTGGCAGAGGACCATCTCCGAACCTGATGCTCTTTCCTGCCTCATGCTCCCTCCTGACCCTCAGACGCTGATGGACTTATGTGCCCAGAAGCCCTGCCCACACAATTCCCACTGCCTCCAGACTGGGCCCTCCTTCCAGTGCCTGTGCCTCCAGGGATGGACTGGGCCTCTCTGCAACCTTCCGCTGTCCTCCTGCCAGAGGGCTGCTCTGAGCCAAGGTACCAACCCAAGGACCGACTAGGGAGCAGATGGAGAGAAAAGGGTGTCCTCCTCTACCTCATCCCTAAGGACATCCACACACAACATTCAGCCAAACAACCAAGAGTCCAAGTAACACAGACCAACCAGTCACGGTGCCACAGCTCAACACCCAGGACAGCCTAACACAACTCAGCTCCTAGCACCACATTCAACACAACTCAGGCAACATCAACCAGCCCAGTCGACGAGACTCCTATTTAACACAACCACCTGGGACAGAAAGTGTGGAACAACTCAACATTGCCATTACCACCATAACTCAACTGCAGTGAACCACATTTAACCCAACTATGCTCAACATACTTCACCATGCCCTGCTCACTTGGATGTTATGCCAACCCCTGGTACAAGAATACCACCCCCGCCTTGATCAAATAAATTTGATATGAGAAGAACTCAGGAGACTATTGCGGGGTCCGGGGATGGTCAGTGGGAATCACTGGGAGAGAATATGCGAGGATGCAAAACCCAGGGGACAGAAAGGCCATTAGTTAAGTCACATGCCCCCACCTTAAAAATAAAATTTAACAATTAGAGAAAAAGGGCAGTTGAGATTTCTTTAAAGCCAAGAATACAGCTGCTTATAATGCTCTGATAAGCCAGAGGAGAGGTATTCCTCTCCATCTGACAGATCAGGCAGGAGGGGGAACTTGGTATTTTAACCTCTTCAGCGTCAGGAGTTACAGACTCCTCAGGCTCCCAGGAATGTTAGTGGCACCCACTCGCCTCTCTGCTCAGCGTTTGGGGCCCCTGAGCATCCTTCCACCCCATTTAGCTTTATCAGTCCCTGTTTGTCTCTCTTCCCAGGCACAGAAATCTCTTCCCTGTGCCAGAATGGAGGCATCTGCATTGACAACGGCCCCTCCTACTTCTGCCACTGTCCCCCCGGATTCCAAGGCAGTACCTGCCAGGACAGGGTGAACCCATGTGAGTCCAGGCCTTGCCAGCACGGGGCCACCTGCGTGGCCCAACCCAATGGTTATCTCTGCCAGGTGAGAGGGTCTAGAGGAGCTGGGGGAGACAAAGGTGGGCTGGCTGTGGGAAACAACAGTCGTGGGTCAGAATGGGGGATGGGGCATTTTCCTTTCACTTCCCCCACACATCCCACCAACCACAGAGTCGTGCTGCTTACCTCCTAGTACTTCTCAGCTCTGTCCTTGCACCCGCACCCTCATCGCCCTGCCTTTGTCCAGGCCTTCACTGCCTTCCACCCGGATCTCAGCCTCCTAACTATCATCCAGCCTCACACTTGTCCTCCTAAAGGTTCAGCCTCTGCGCCACTACCAGGGAGCTTCGTTGAAAATATTAAGCTGACCTGTCGCTCCCCTACTTAAAACCCTTCAGTGGCTGCCCACCTCTTTGATAATGAAGTCCAAAGCCCTGCGTGACCCAGCCCCGCCTGCCTCTCCGGCCTCATCTCTCCCCACCCCCACCCTCCTCCCTTACTTCTGCAACACAAAACTGCTGCTGGCTTCCCCCCACCCCAAACTGGCTCTTTGATGGCCTTCCTCACCCCTCTCCCAATGGATGGTGCCCCGGAGGCGCTGCCTCAGGAAAATGTCCCGAACTTCTCTCCAGACTGGGTTACAGCCCCTCCTTGGTGGTTTGAGTCACTGAGCAGGAGAGGGAGGCAAAGCTGGGGTTCAAGTCCAAGCAACCTGATCCTTGTACTCAGAACCACGACTTTGGCTAGAAGGCATGAAGCAGGTCCGCCAACTGCCCTTTTTCTCTAACTGTTAAATTTTATTTTTTACCTTATTCTTATGAGCATTTTCAAACTGACACAAAAGCAGTGTGCTGATTAGCAGTGAACCCTCATACACCTAATACTCAGCTCTGCTTCCCTGCCCATAAAACTCCTTCTTCCCAAAGTTTCCAAGACACCCCCCTTGCCTGCTTCTTCCAGCCCTCTGGCCGCTCCTCAGATTCTCTGTGAATCCCTTTTTCTCCATCATATTTCTGAAGCCCTGCTGGGACTCCATTCTCACATACCCTCCTTCCCCCTGCAAGAACTCTGCACGTGGTACAGCCATCATCAATGGCCCTCTCTCACTAGCAGAAAGATCTGAAACAACCGGAAAACGGTTAAGGCATCAGCAATGGAGTCCTTGACTTGCCCTACCACCTACTGCTGTGTGGTTTGCCCAAGTTAAGGAATTAGCTTCCTTTTTCTGTAAAGTGAGAATCAAATGAGATGGCCCATGTAGAGGGTTTTGGGAAGGTTTGTGAGGTTATGTACACAAAGCATGCAATAAATTCTAGCTGCCTCTCTCCTCTGGTTGACTGAGGACTTCATGAAAGCAGGGATGTGTTCTAATTTCCTTTGTATTCCTAGTGCCTAAAACGGTGCCTGGCACAAAGTAGGCATTCGATGAAGGTTTATAAATTAATTAATAAAGCATGACAGAGCCCGGTGGATGTGTGGTTGAGGGAGGAAGGTTTGACCAAAAACGGAGCTATATTTACTGGCAATGTAGCATAGAAATTGTTTGTGGCTGGGAAGGGATTAAGTTTCATATTATTGAGCAACTGTGTATCATGTGGAGTTGAGATAAAGGGTTAAGCTACCATGGCTGTGGTGGATGCTGAGCTGAGTGATGCTTTGAGCTGGAGGCGGGGAGCTAGGCAGACTGTCTTGAGCTAGTCCCCTATGGTGCCAGGATGGGCTCATTTACTGGTTCCCTGTCTGACCCTCTTTGCCTGCAAGTGTGCACCAGGTTACAGTGGACAGAACTGCTCAAAGGAGCCCGACGCTTGTCAATCCCAGCCCTGTCACAACCATGGGACCTGCACCCCCAAACCTGGAGGCTTCCACTGTGCCTGCCCTCCAGGCTTTGTGGGGCTGCGCTGTGAGGGGGACGTGGATGAGTGTCTGGACCGGCCCTGTCACCCCACAGGCACTGCAGCCTGCCACTCTCTGGCCAATGCCTTCTACTGCCAGTGTCTGCCCGGACACACAGGTAAGGCCTGGGACGAGGGGTGTAGGCATCTCTGTGCACAGATGAACTGACCATGGAAACCCAGACAATCCCCACCCACGAGGCAGCCTAGTCATCTGGTCTATCCCCCTGCCTCCACGCCCCCCCCACCCCCACCCAGAGAATATGCCCCATGATCCCTTTGTCTGTGCAGCCAGTGCTGGGCTGACTCCCAGGAATGCGCTAGGAAGGAGGCAGCCAGTGAAGTAGAGAGTTACGTTTAATCCTACCCTCGCCCCCAGGCCAGTTGTGTGAACAGGAGATAGACCCCTGCCAGAGCCAGCCCTGCTCCCACGGAGGGTCTTGTGAGACCACACCAGGACCACCCCAAGGATTCACCTGCCACTGCCCCCAGGTGAGTGACCACAGAGCTGCTTTCTCTGTCGCCCCGATGCTGACGCAAGGTGAGAATGTCTGAGCCAGAACCTGGTGGAGCAACGGAGTGGGAATTATTGAAGAAAACTGTCTCATGTTCACAGTGGTAAGTGGCTCTCAGAAGCGGTAGTGGGGAAAGGCAGGATCCAGTGGGAGCATGAATGGAATTATCAGAAGTATGGGCATTGCCTAAGGGAAGGTTCCCCCAGGTCAAGCTGGATGTCCTTGGATAAATTCTTTTAACTCTGTGTATTTGTTTATTGACCTCAGATGCACCAAACTGGGTTAATCTTAAAAACTTGGTTCATGATACACTAACGTACAAACTAACACTGGTTTCTGCACAGCCTTCTTTTACTTTATTATACTTACAAGATAACATCCATGAAAAATAAAAAATTTTTAAAAAGATAACACTCATGAACTAAACCAAGGAATTACAATATTAACAATAACTTTCATGTACTTACGTCCTCCTCTATCCAGAAGAGAAAGTATACAATCCTATCTCCAAGGATTAAGATAATATAGTGCTAGTTCAATTACTATCACTCTATTAACAGTCTTCCAGGACTTGCATGGTGATTCACCCATGTAGTTTTGTAGAGCTGTGGTCCATCCTTCTCCACCACTATGTAATATGCCATTGTGGGAGGGATCTGTAAAATGAACTTAATATTCTGAGGCCCCTTCCAGATGAGAATCTAGGATCCTCTGAGTTATCTTAACCCAGGAATTTGCTTGAGGGGAAGTGGGAAGAATACAAGGTCCTTCACCAATATCTCTCCTCTCCACAGGGTTTTGAAGGCCCCACCTGTAGCCAAAGAGCCCCCTCCTGCGGCCTTCATCACTGCCACCACGGTGGCCTCTGTCTGCCCTCCCCCAAGTCTGGATTCCCGCCCCGCTGTGCCTGCTTCAGTGGTTATGGGGGCCCTGACTGCCTGACCCCACCCGCTCCTCGAGGCTGCGGCCCTCCCTCTCCATGCCTACACAATGGCAGCTGCTCAGAGACGCCCGGGCTGGGGGCCCCAGGCTTTCGATGCTCCTGCCCTCCCAGCTCTCCAGGGCCCCGGTGTCAGAGGCCCGGAGCAAAGGGATGTGAGGGTAGAGGTGGAGATGGGGCCTGTGACGCTGGCTGCAGTGGCCCAGGAGGAAACTGGGATGGGGGGGACTGCTCCCTGGGGGTCCCAGACCCCTGGAAGGGCTGCCCCTCCCATTCTCGGTGCTGGCTTCTCTTCCGGGATGGGCAGTGCCACCCGCAGTGTGACTCTGAAGAGTGTTTGTTTGATGGCTACGACTGTGAGACTCCTCCAGCCTGCACGTGAGCCTGAAGCCCTGCCTTGGGCTGGGGGGGCGGGTGGGGAGGCAGGAGGAAGGACAGAGGTCTCTGAGTTACAGGGTGACCACAGCCTCAAGCCCCAGGGAGAGTCTACCCTAATACCCATTGCTAAGTAGGGGTATAAGATGCTGGACTCTAACCCGAGGGAATGGGGACAGCATAAATATTTAATGTGGGGACCAGGAAAGAGAGCGCTGCCTCTGTCTGGGCTCCTCTCTGAGGGATGTGGGAGCTCTGATCTCAAGCTCTCTCTTTAAGCCCTGTTGCTGTGGAGGATCTCCCCTAGCAACCAGCACCCCTAAGGGAAAAGGGCTCCCCTTCAGGGAGACAGGAGAGCTTGGGAGGGTCCCAAGGGAGGGAGATTAGCTGCAGAGTGTTTTCTGGGAATGGTCCTGGGGGACCTAAGGGGACCTAGGGGATGGTCCTAGGAAACAAGGGTGTCAGCAGACATTAGGGGATCTGGACTACCTACCATCCAGGGACTAAGCCCACTGCCCCAGAGCTGCCCCCACTTAACAACCAGAGCCCTAGAGGCCGTGGAATATCAGGAATCCTCTCTGGGATGAGGGAGTCAGGTTTCTTTGGGGGTCCTGAGTCCCTCTCTCCTCACCCCACAGTCCAGCCTACGACCAGTACTGCCACGATCACTTCCACAACGGACACTGCGAGAAGGGCTGCAACACTGCAGAATGTGGCTGGGATGGGGGTGACTGCAGGCCCAGAGACAGGGATGCAGAGTGGGGGCCCTCCCTGGCCCTGCTGGTGGTGCTGAACCCCTCAACCCTGGACCAGCAGCTGCGTGCCCTGGCCCGGGTGCTGTCCCTGACTCTGAGGGTAGGGCTCTGGGTGAGAAAGGATAGTGACGGCAGGGACATGGTGTACCCCTATCCTGGGGCCCAGGCCGAAGAGGAGTTAGGAGGAACCCCAGACCCCTCTCACCAGAGAGCAGCCCCTCAAACACAGCCTGTAGGCAAGGAGACAGACTCCCTCAGCACTGGGTAAGAAGCTGGTGGCAGCGAGCAGACATTAGTTTTTTTACCCATGGAGGGAAGGGAGCCAGGGACCAACACAGGGGCCTCTGAGGTGCCTTCCCCACAGGTTCGTGGTGGTGATGGGTGTGGATCTGTCCCGCTGTGGCCCGGACCACCCTGCATCCCGCTGTCCCTGGGACCCTGGGCTCCTGCTCCGCTTCCTTGCTGCGATGGCCGCAGTGGGGGCCCTGGAACCCCTACTGCCAGGACCCCTGCTGGCTGCCCACCCTCGTGCAGGCACCGGTAGGTGACCCCCTGTCATTTCCCCTCACTTTGCTCCCGGGCTAGCTTTCACGCCAACAACCAGCAATGGAGGTCAAATGAAACAGAATCGCTGGGACCCCAAGTGTTCTTTATGGAGACTTACCCTTGTTAACCTCCTTCTCTAACTAGATCTCCTCATGGCCTATTTGCTCTGCAGTCTCCTTCCTTATTTCCCCAAGTACTTTAGCCTAACCTCTATCGTACACCTCCCACAAACCTTGGGTTCCGGTCTGTCCTCTCTACGAGACCAAGAGTATCCAATCATCCCCGCGTCAAACAGTTGGTAGTACATGAAAGAATAATAACTCTTAATAGCACTATGTGCCAGCCTCGCTCTAAGCATTTTACAGTATTAACTCATTTAATCCTCCCAACAACCCCATGAGGGAGGTACTCTTACTATTCCCATTTTACAGTTGAGGAAACTGTGGCAAAAAGAGGTGACTGCACTTGCCCAAAGTCTCACAGGAGTACCCAGCCCCACCAGGAATGGCCTCTTTTCCTGACTGTGTCTCTTCCACCAGTGCCCCCCGCCAACCAGCTTCCCTGGCCTGTACTGTGCTCACCGGTGGCCGGGGTGCTTCTCCTGGCTCTCGGGGCCCTACTTGTCCTCCAACTCATCCGCCGGCGGCGCCGAGAGCATGGGGCCCTCTGGCTGCCCCCTGGGTTCACTCGAAGGCCTCGGACTCAGCCAGTTCCCCGCCGACGCCGGCCCCCTCTGGGCGAGGACAGCATCGGCCTCAAGTGAGAGTGAGGAAGAACCGGGACTCGGGGTGGGGGCTCTTTCCCATGGAGATATTTATGATCAGAAGCAATGAGAAATGCTATTGCAGAAGCTGAAGACAAGAAAGGTGAGGGAGGAGGAAGGCTGCTGGAAATCTTAGAGACCCTGAAGGTTCTCTACCCACCCACCCTCTTCCTTCCAGGGCACTGAAACCAGAGGCAGAAGTTGATGAGGATGGAGTTGTGATGTGCTCAGGCCCCGAGGAAGGAGAGGAGGTGGGCCAGGTGAAGGCACTGGGGCAGGAATGGTCCCAAGGTGATGGAAGGGTTGAAGAGAAAAGTCAACGCCCCTTCACTGATCCTTGCTCTGATCCCCAAGGCTGAAGAAATGGCCTCACCTTCCAAGTGCCAGCTCTGGCCTCTAAGTGGTGACTGTCAGGAGCTCCCCCAGGCAGCCATGCTGACTCCTCCCCAGGAATCTGAACTGGACGTCCCTGACGTGGACACCCGTGGACCTGGTATGTATGCAACTCAGACCAAGAAAATGAAAACTCCCTCTGACCCTTTTAGAATCAGAAAACCCTTTGCTATCAGAACTGGAGAAACTAATGTTAGAGTTAGTGTTTTAGAGCAATCATTCTCAGACAGAAGAATCGGCATCACCAGGGAAATTGTTAGAAATACAAATTCTCAGGCTCCACTCCACAGCTACTGATTCAGAAATTCAAAATACTGACAAGCCCTGCAGGTGAGTCTGATCCAGGACTCAAGTTTGAGAACAATTGCCTTAGGGTGAGAGTACTATGGCCTGTTGCTTCCTTTTACAAATCAGGAAACTGAAGTCCAGAGAAAAGGAAAGTCATTTGATTAAAGCCACACAAAATTGTGAGCCCAAGCTGGGTTTCCCTACACCTCAGGCCGTGATTTTCCCTGAGCCTCCGTGTTCTCCCCTCCCCCAGTTATGTCCTTTTGATTGATTTGTCTCCCATTCCTCATGTCTCTTACACACAGATGGGGTAACACCCCTGATGTCAGCAGTCTGCTGTGGGGGAGTGGAGTCCAGGACCTATCAGGGGACATGGCTGGGAAGCCCTGAGCCCTGGGAACCTCTGCTGGGTGGAGGGGCCTGTCCCCAGGTTCACACCTTGGGCACTGGGGAGACTCCCCTGCACCTAGCTGCCCGATTCTCCAGACCAACCGCTGCCCGCCGCCTCCTTGAGGCAGGAGCTAACCCCAACCAGCCTGACCGGGCAGGGCGCACCCCTCTTCACACCGCTGTGGCTGCTGATGCCCGGGAGGTTTGCCAGGTCAGTCAGTGTACAATGGAGCCGCTAAAGGAAACGGGGCAAACTTGCAACTAAAGTCAGGCAAAAGCATCCTCAAGGGTTTGGCAGAGGAAGGTGATGTGAGATTGGGGACTGAAAGGGAAACAAGAACAGATGGTTGAATACGGACTGGGGGGTGGTTAACAGTGTGATAAACCTTAGCTAGAAGTCCAGATATACCAAGGATCACTGGTCCTCTCTGCATCCCCTAGCTCTTACTCCGCAGCAGACAGACCTTAGTGGATGCACGGACAGAGGATGGGACCACAGCCCTGATGCTGGCTGCCAGGCTGGCTGTTGAGGACCTGGTTGAAGAACTGATTGCAGCCAAAGCAGATGTGGGGGCCAAAGATAAATGGGGTATGGATCTGGGGAAGCTGATGTTGTGCTATAAAGAAGTTGAGCAAATGGGGCGTAAGACGCCAAGGAGGGGAGCAGCAGAGGGACCAGCTGGAGGCTGGGGCATTCCCTCCCACTCTGCTGTGAGGGTGGTAAACCTGCGGTGCGGTGGCAGTACGCAGAACGTGAGTCTTCCTCACCATCCTCAAAAACACACACACTGCTCTAGTCCACTGGGAACTACGATGCGGGAAATGTCTGAGAAGGGGGAACGGTCTCGTGGGAGGGAGGTGGTCTGCCGGTCCCACCGACCCCAGAACAATGCCCCATTGTCCCTCCCGCGCGCCGGTGACGTCACCAGGGGCAACGCTTCCTGCAGGCCGGCGGTCACCCGGGCAACGCTTCCGCTTTTGAGGTACCCGGCAGGCCGAATAGCCCTTCCCCCAAGACCAGAATCCGTGGGAAACAGGAACCCAGGCGACTGGCCCCCAGCCTCCGGGTTAACAACCTCCCACGTCGTCCCCTAGGAAAAACCGCGCTGCACTGGGCCGCCGCCGTGAACAACGCCAGGGCCGCCCGCTCCCTTCTCCAGGCCGGAGCCGATAAAGACGCACAGGATGGCAGGGTTAGACCGGGTAGAGGGCTCCCCGCAATAAAACGGGCCAGGAGAAGTGGAACGCGCGGGAACTCCGCAAAACCTGAAGGGGGAGGGGCCAGCGGTCGTGCAGAAGGAGGGCCAGCCCTGTGGGGCGTGGCCTTCCCTGACCTCGCCCCCTGGTTGTTTCCTCCCGCGCAGGAGCAGACGCCGCTGTTCCTGGCGGCCCGGGAAGGGGCAGTGGAGGTAGCCCAGCTGCTGCTGGAGCTGGGGGCGGCCCGAGGGCTGCGGGACCAGGCCGGGCTAGCGCCCGGGGACATCGCTCGCCAGCGAAACCACTGGGATCTGCTGACGTTGCTGGAAGGGGCGGGACCACTGGAGGCGCGTCACAAAGCCACGCCGGGCCGCGAGGTCGGCGCTTACCAGCGCGCGAGAACTGCGTCGGGAAGCGTGCCCCCGCGCGGGGGCGGGGCCCTGCCGCGCTGCCGGACGCTGTCGGCCGGAGCCTGTCCGCAAGCTCGGACTTTGTCCGTAGACTTGGCCGCGCGTGGGGGCGGGGCCTATTCGCACAGCCGGAGCCTATCGAAAGGAGCAGCAGGAGGCGGCCCGCCCCTCCGCGGCCGTAGGTTTTCAACAGGCATGCGCGGGCCTCGGCCCAACCCTGCAATAGAGCGAGGAAGATCCGGGGTCGCGGCCGGGAGCGGGAGTGTGGCCTCAGCTGATGACTGGCCCTGCGATTGGGTGGCCCTAGGAGCCTGCGGCCCCGCCTCCAACACTCCAATCCCGCCTCCCTGCCTTACTCCGTCCCCGGAGCGGGGATCCCCTCAAGTTGCCTGGTGTCCCCCAGCCCACCAAGTAGTACCCTTAAATGCGGGAGGTGAGGGTCAGAAATAAAAGGCTACATGGCAGGGAGGGATTCTAAAAGTGAGTACTCATTAAATGACAGGCAGTCTGGAAGGTCTCCAGATTTTAAGATCCTTGAGCCCCAAATATGAGGGATTATGAGTGTAGTGTCCCTCCCAAAGTGAGTGTATGCCACATCGTCTTACACGTGGAGAAACTGCAGCCCTGGAAAAGGGGTTTAGGGTGCTGGGATGAAGCAGGCCCATCCTCTCTCCCAGAAAATAAGGGTGAGAGGTTACAGGAGGATGGGGTGGAATGGGAGAAGTACCCCTGAACTGGAACCAAAAACTGCAAACAGGATGTAAGATCTCCTTTCCTATATATGGTTCCTAGGGGGAGCCCCATCGCCTGTAACCCCGACCACTCACAAAGGGCTGATAAATATTTATTGAGCACTTACTGTGTGCCAGACACTGTGTAGGTGCTGAAGGGAGGGCCAAGGGTCACTCCAGCTGATGACTCCTTGCATTCTCTCCACCTTCCCCCACCCCCAAACAAACCACTGCAGGGATGAAGTGCCACTCTTATAGCCACCACTCTATTTAAGAACCCCACATTTGTCAACCCATAATAAAGCTGACTTGAAGTGTTACCTTTTTTTGGAGGGGTTGGGGAGTGGAAAAAATATGGGATTAACTGCACAGTGTTTTCAGAATTTTGTGCCCTAGGTTCAACATTTGGATGGAAGCTTTGAGCATAGTGTTAAGAGCAAGAATAAGTAGACTTGGGGGTCCTGTGCTAATTTAGGGTATCAAAAGGTGAAAGTCTCTAGTAGCTCAGGGAGAAACGACTCACACACGAAACCAGGCCTACCCTTTGTTCCTCTTGCAAGGGCATTTAGTTATAGCCACTTAGGAGATTCCTGAGACCTCAAGTAGAGGGAGATGGAGAAAGCATCTCCAACTTTATCCTCCATTCAGCAACTTGGTTATACCTCTTTAATAGCAATGGACCTGAGACATGGAGGCATGAAGTATTTTGAAAGCTAGTAACTACCATTGCTGGAGCATTCACTATGTGCCGAATGCTTAATATCACACTTAATCCTTACATCAACACTATAAAAAATAATTTTATAAGACCTCCCTTTTACTCTTTCAGAAACTGAGGCAGAGGTTTCACTTGCCCCATATTGCAAGGCATTAAGTGGCAGAACCTGATCTATCATATTTTACGTTCAAAGTCACTGAGCTAACATGACAGCCATTTTGAGGTCCAAAATGTCTCTGTCCTCTTCCCACCTTGGTGCCAGCCAGCCTGACCAACGTTGATCAAAGACCAAGCCAGGTTGTGGTCCTCTCTCTTTTCCATTTCATAACTAGAGGAAAGTTTCCCCTGCCCCCTGTCTCTTACATTTGGTGCATATCTTGTCCCCTGAATAGACTGTAAGCACCTATAAGGCAGTTATTACTATTCAACACATTTATTAGACACAGTGCTAGGGGTGTATGTATACATGTTTCAGGCCCTGGCATCCCTGGATCTAAGTCCTGCTTCCCACCGGAACCATGCCTCTCCCAGTCCCAATAAGTCTGAGGGAAGCTGAGAAGCAGGGGGAGGGTCCTTCTTGGGGAAGGTACCTGGGGCAAGGGGGTGAGGGGGGTTTCTGAGGAGTGAAACCACTTCCTTTGTAGCTAGTTCCTGTGTTGACAGAACTGAAGGGGAGGAGGGGGGTAGAAGGAACAGAGCCAGGGGTTGGGGGACTACTGAGGATCTGGAGATGAGAAAGCCAAAGTCCTCCCCCTCCCTGACACCCCCATCACTACTGCAGCTGGAGGAGCTTTTCCCAGTCTCTGTTCCCCTGGGGCGAGAGAGGTCAAGCATGTAGTTTGGGTGGGAAAAGAGAACTGGAGGAAGTTGACAGAGATGGGCGGGGCCCGTGGGGGTGCTGACCAGGAACCCAGCTTCCTGCTCAGTACCCAGACATCCAGCCCCCGGCTCACCCCCACCCCTTTCAGCCCCTACTCCCCTCAGGAACTCAGGGTTCCGGCCCTCCTCCCAAATCAGAGCTACTCCTCCCCCACCAGTTTCTCCCCTCTAGGGGATGGAGGCTGAGAGACCCCAGGAAGAAGAGGATGATGAGCAGGTGAGCTGGGCACCGGGTCTGGGAGGCTGCCACTGGGAGAGGGAGGTGAGAGGACCTGAGGCAGAGACTGAGTAATGGTGGACTCAGGCGACTTGGGTGGGCTTGGGCACACTGAGGCAGGAATAGAGACACCAAGAGAGGAAATGGGCTGCTGGCCTAGTCCTCTGCGCACCCCACCCCTGCTTGACTGGAACGGATGTCTCTCAGCATCAGGGCCCCCCTCAGGATGAGCGTGGCTGGCCCCCTGTGAACACCGGTACTCGGCCTTGGCGATCTGCTCCTCCGTCCCCTCCTCCTCCAGGGGCCCGCCACACAGGTATCCCCCTCACCCAGGGGGCTCCCTGATCCTGGTGCCCACATCCTTCCTGATCCCATTACCAAGGCCCACTCCATCATGGGCTCTCTCCCCACCTCCAGACTCCCCATCACACCCCCTTAGTTCTGACCCCACGTCCCTAATCATACCCCCACATCCACCACCCCTGTCTCCCAACTCCTATGGGTCCCTGAGCCCTTCCCCTCCTCTCCCCAGCCCTGGGGCCCCGCTCGGCCTCCCTGCTCTCCCTGCAGACTGAGCTGCTTCTGGACTTGGTGGCTGAGGCCCAGTCCCGCCGCCTAGAGGAGCAGCGGGCCACCTTCCATGTGCCTCAAAACCCCCCAAACTTAGGCCGAGCCCCACCCCGGCCTCTTGAGGACAGAGAACAGCTCTACAGCACCATCCTCAGTCACCAGGTGAGACGCCCCCCACCCCCACCCCAGGAGGCAAGACCCAGGCTTCTTGGTCTCTTGGCCCCTGTTCTCCTTTGGCCCTACCCCTCCTTCTCCCCAGGCATCTGCCCCCTCACCAGATCCTAGTCCCCTCATCCCCATCCCCATCACAGGTGTCCTATACGCCCCTCACACCAGCTCTGGCTCCTTTCAAGGCCTGCTCCTCTTAGAAGCTCACCAACAACTTCCCTTCCCTCCACTCCTCCAGTGCCAGCGGATGGAAGCCCAGCGGTCAGAGCCCCCCCTACCCCCAGGAGGACAGGAGCTCCTGGAGTTGCTGCTGAGAGTTCAGGGTGGGGGTCGAATGGAGGAGCAAAGGTCCCAGCCCCCCACACACACCTGCTGAGACTTGAGCCCCCACCAGCCCCTCTGTACTGCTGTGGCTCAAAGCTGGGCAGCCCACTGCATGCCCTCAACCCTGCCTGGCAGAGGCACCAGAGACTGGAAGACCCAGCAGAAATCTCAGTAGTCATCGCCCTCATCCACCCTTCCTGGGAGCTGGAGGGTTGCAAGTCCTCAGACCCTGGGAATAGTCAAGGTAGGATGGACATTTAACTCCCTCTGTGACCAAGTACATGGGAGCTGAAGGCCTTGAGAGGAACCCAGCCACAGAGGGACAACTCACCCTTTCCTCTGGTCTCAGGGAGGAACTGGGAGTCTTGGTCTTGAGTTGTGGGGACACTCCCTATACTCAAGACACCAGGCAGGATCTGAGGGTTCAGGCCTCCACCTCCCAAGAAAAGGCAAATCTCCCAAGGTTTGGACCTGAGAGACAGTTCCACCCTCCTTCTCAGTAAGAAGAAAGGAAGAGAGGGCACAGCAAAGACTTATTGTCCCACCTCCATCACCGGCACCCCACAGCCCCAGGACTGAGGGGCCTATAGGCTGTGGATGGACATTTAGCCCTGCCCACCCTCCCTCCCCATTGCTGTTCTGAGCTGTCTGATGTTTGGTGACATGAATAAATGTAATTCCCCTCTGGACTGAAGACTGGTGTCTGGGATGGCGGGGTGGAGGGTAGGAAGGTAAGACCTGAGGCCGTCACTCTCCCCAGTCTGGCCAGAGGCCAGCTCCCCTCCCTGGCTGGTTAATTACTGGCTCATTAAGCAGCGGCTGGAGACCTCCCTAATTATCCCCCCCAGCCCCCCTCTCCTGGTTTTAATTAAGTAGAACAGGGAGGGGAGTCATTAGGATAAGAAATATGAACTAAGCTGTCTGTGAACCCAGGCATTCCAGCGGCCAGAGTCCACTTCAGCTAGATCCGGGACTGAGAACCCAGGTGGCAGCCCCCACCCCCCAGCCCCCAATACGCCCTCCTCCAAGGCCACAGAAGTCCAGCCCCTGGGGCCTTCCCTTATTTTCCCCACGGGCTAGTCTCCTCCCCTCGTCCCCTCTCCCCTCCTCCACTCGATCTCAGTTCCTCTGTTTCTGTGTGTCTCTCTCCGCCCCCAGCTCCTCCCTGTTCCTCCTCTCTTCTCCCCTCCTCTTCCTCCCCGGCTCCCCTCCCCCAGCCTCCCTCCCTCGCTCCCCCCTCCTCCCTCCTCCCTCCTCCCTCTCTCTCACACACACCCCCGCTTGGGCCTCCTCTCTCTCTCCGGCTCCATTTTCTCCGCCGCCGGGGGCCGGGGGTCTCCTGTGGGGGGCCCAGACGGTATCCCAGGTCTCCCTTCAGGGCCGGGGCGAACCCCCGGGAGAGCCGGGAGGTGGGGAGACGGGCGGCGGCTGGGGCGGAGGGAGCAGC